TCTTTTGTTTCCCATCTAATGTGCTTCCTATTGTCCTGTCTTGGTTCCCTGAAGAGTCTGATGACAATGCAACAATACCTTCCAGGTTGTGGGTCCATCTTTGGATTTTTCTCAGCACCTTCTGCAGATCCTACCACTGTTTCCAGCAGCCTCTGAGATTCCTGGACCTCCTTACCAGGCTGCCTTACCTTCTCTCATCCCACCTTGCTTATATTTATGCCACATTTTTGAAGCAGAAAACTGAAGTGGAACCGGAGGTACAGTTTATACGTTCTTGGAGGCACTTTCTGCAAACCTTCCCACTTGTGATTCACTGACTCTTGTCACCAGCAGCTGCTTGAATGTCACGCTGGTGCCCACTCCCTTGCTCTCTGGAAGCCTGAAGCCAGTACTCCTCAGGGCTAATTGCACTGGCCGTCATCGGTGATCTCACCTTGCTCTTTATGGCTTCCGGATAATACTGAGACAGCTAGCCCTGAAAACTCGTTAACTTTTTTTTTCTTTAACTTTCGACTTCCTTTTATGGGAGATGGGAGTTCCAGGTAAATGAACCTTTCATTTGGAACGCTTTACGGGAGCGAGCATAAATAAAACAGAAATGCTTTATTGAGCAAAACTTTTATTGTAGGAGGCAAACTCATTATTGAGAAATGCCTTGTGTCTGGGAAATCATGAAAATCCCGCCAAAGAGGCAGCCTATTGAAAATTCAGTAACAAAAGAAGAAACATTTTCTAGCTTCTGGCATTTTATATCGCTTGTCGAATTTTTTGCTTAACACATTTCATCAGTCAATATCCTTCTCAGTATTAAAACACTGGTTTGCAAAATTCAGCGTGTCCTACAATCATCAGGGATCTCCACCTCAACAAGCATTTCCGGCTTGTAACTTTAATTAGATAAACTCCTGTTAAAAAAAGCATTGGTATCTAGCTCAGCTTTTTAAACTAAAAGCCAATGTTTGTTCCCCAAGAGGTCTGGATCATTTAATTAAAGTAAAAAGAGAAAAATGCAATAATATGTGGCTAAAATTTCAACTAATATGAAACATTTTTAATACCATAGACCAGGTTTCCAAACAAAATGCTTAAATTAATGGGCAATATACAGAACCCAAAAATACTAGGTCTTTTGACAAAGTCCTGAAAAATGGTTTTAACTTCTTTAGTTTTATGTTTTCCACTCTCTAGTTTT